CTGCTGAAGTCTGAACCCACCAACCCTTGTACTAGCACTCCAGTCCCTGATGAAGAGTCCCTCTCTGACATCCTTCTAGGCCTCCTTCAGGCACTGGCAGCTGCTCTGAGATCTCCACACAGCTCCTTTTCTCCAGGCTCAACAGATCCAATTTTCTTAGCCTGTCTTCATACAGGAGGTGCTGTAGCAACGTTATTTCAAACTGGGTGCTGTTTACACAGTGGCTGGACTGTCAGCTCTTTCCCAGGTTTGTATGCAGCGCCTTGGGATCCCAAAACACCTACCTGTACCACTGGCCTACAGGGCAAGTGCTCTGCCATTGATGGAAACGCACGGAGGGGGACAGACCACCCAAACTGGTGGCTCAGATGCCACAGGAGCATCTTCTCAGCGTGCCATAAGGCAACACAGATCCCACAAGCTCTGACATCCTTAGGGTAGCTGGGATGGAGGGATCCGCTTCAGGCATCCCTTGTTTCACCTTAGTGACAGGCTCTTATAGCGGGGAGAGGAGTGTCTGGCACTGGGTGCCATCAGTTCAGGAGCACAGGCACTGTGCACACCCCAGCCTCCCGCATCGCCTGCTCTCAGCTGACAGTTTGAAGTGGCTTTTGTTAGAGGAAGCTCAGCCTGGCCCCTGTCAGTGTGATAAGATCCCCCAGCGAGACGGAAATGAGGACATCATAATTAATGTGGTGAGCGCACGCGCTGGGGGGGACCCGGGACATGATTGCATCTGTATGCAGGGGGTTGCCTAATGGCTTAAATTAAAGTCAACACCAGCTATAAAATATTTGCCAGATATATAGAAGGTGAAAGATGCAAACACCAGATACCTGGGCAGCTGAGCAAGGTCTTACAGGTCTCCCAGGGCTTGTGTGGTGCAGCAGAGTGGGGAAAAGGAGGAGGAGGAGTGGAAGGGGTGAACACACAAAGAGGGACCACATCCAGCAGCAGCTCAGCCTCCCACCACCTTTTGGTGAGCACAGAGGGAACCAAGGGTCAAGGTCTTCCCCACCCTGGGATGGCTTCCAGGAGGGATGCCAGGTTTCCTGGCACAGCAAAGCTGCTGCTGCCTCTAAGACATCCAGCACTGTCCTTCCTCCCGTGAGCAAGCACTGAGCTCCAGCACCTCCCTGGGAACTGCCAGGTGCCTCACACTGTCACTGGGAGAGGGAAAAAAGAGAAGGATGTTATTGCACCTATAAATCAGTAGATGGGAGGCCTTAATGGAGATAATCCTCATGAAATCAGTCACTGCTGTGGCTAAGGAGGGATTTGTCAGGCAGTTAACTACCCTGAGCTTCACTGCAGGTGATTAACTCCTGGTAGTGACCAGTGTCTGGGGAATTAGCAATAACCCAGCATTTACTGAACAAGCTCCGGGAGATGAGCTTTTATCTCAATTACTAGTCTAAATCTTTATTTTCTAGTGTTCTATTACTACCCTTCTCTTTTTTTTCAAAGAAAATGAGTTTCACTGCTGCTTGCCCTGTAACTTGCTGATGTTCCTGGATCCAGGATGGGAAGAGAACCTAAGATGTGCATCAAGGACTTAGAAGTGATGGAGGGCAGAAGATACAGCTTGGACAGATGAGAGACCCCCAACATCTTTTGTCACTTCAAGGAGAAAGACATGACCCAGAAGGGGGTTGAAAAGGCAGGGGAGGTTTTTGCATGGTGGACATGTCTGTGACCTCTGTAATGTCAGATGGGGTTCACCCCAGCCATGAGCTGGTTGTTGGCTGCAGGACCAGAGCCAGACAAAAGAAGTCCCCTGTTGTATAGGCTTTGCTCTGCAAAAGGTTCAGTCCCAGGGCATTTACAGCAGCACAAGGTCCCCAACCCTGAAGCACAAACACTGCTGGGAGACTGTCCTACAGGCAGAAGAGTGTCGTCTGCGCTGTCAGCTGGTTGCTTAAGCAAATCTGGTGTCTTTCTGCCAGTTTCCTCTCTGAGCTACTGCTCAATGAGGGAAGAGCGCTCTTGGCTAGTGGTGCCCAGGGACCTCAGGATACGTCCCTTTACCAGAAGCCAAGGGGCAGAGGTAGGGATGCACAGATCACCTCTGAAGGTCTCTCCTGGTGCTCCCACCAGCAAAACCAACATGGAGCATGCCAGGTGCTGGGGCAGGTCCCAGGGGGGCAGATGCCCAGCAGCTCTCTGGGCTGACCCCAGCCCATGCAGTGAGAGGGATGCTGTGGGGCCAGACCACCGAGGTGCTGGTGGGGGGCAGACGTGGAGGTCGCGGGCAGCATGGGGAGCCTTCCTCCAGCACTCAAGGTGCTCCTATTGTAATTAGCTTTTGCAAGGCATCATTCAAGCTCTTTAGATACCCTGAGTCTGAACAAAATCATTTCCTGTTTGACTTTGTAAATCAAAGTAGACGATACAATAATTATTAATAATATGTTGACTTATCTCATCAGCGTTTTAATTAGTCAGTAGAAAAGCAATTTGCAAAGGGGCCGATCAGGCTCCCTCTGATTCGGTGGGTCACGTGCCAAGCAAGGAGAGGGGAGAGAAGGGCACTGGGGCACTGGGGCGTTTTACTGGGGAAAGCTGGGAAACCCGAGGCACAGAAGGGGAAGGGGCACTTCTTTGACGGCACTGATAAAAGTTTAATTTTCAGCGCAGAGGGAATTGTTCTGGGGATGGAGAGAGCTGCAAAGCTCCTGGGAGCCCTTTGAAGTTATAATTGAGAGGAGCCGCAGCCTGCGGGACGGGGATGCTGCTGGTGACCCTTCCACTTCCTGCACGTGTCTCTGTGGTAGAGGTGAGGGGGGGATGCAATTAAACCCCTGAGCAGCAATTACAGCCAATTACCCCTCAGTTAATTGTCTGGCAAGAGGAAATGTCAAAACAGACCACACATGCCTCCCTGATGGCTTGACACTCCCCAGGGCCCACGGTGCTGCTCACCCCCACTGTGCCCATCGCTCCCGGCCCTTTGCTCCTCTGCTCTTGCTGGCCACAGCAAACCCAGAGAGGACAAAAAACCTTCCTGAGAGACAAGTTCACTTTTCCCATAGGTGAGATGAAAGCATCAGGGCTTTGTAAGCACCAGTCTTCCAGCTTTGCACTGCTGATGCTTTGAACCATTGACTTGCTGTACAGGCAGCTCCTGGATCAAACAGTCCAGAAGAGGAAAGCTCCAAGGCTGCCACCTTTCCTCTGGCATCCCCAGGAGCACCAGAGAGGTGGGACAGGGCTGTAGGGCAAGCTATAGGGCACTAAAGACTGAGCTAGAGGACACAAGGCCCCTTCGTAAGCTCCTCACACTGGGGACTGGGGCTCTGTGCCATGCAAAGACCCAGGCAGAGCTACCCACCTCCCCACTGTCACCCATGTGGTGGCTCCAGGCTCAGGCAGGGCAGGGGAATGGACATGTGGGTAAAGCAAAAACGAGCGTGACTTCAGCTGAGGAGCAGGGTCAGCAATGCCGTCCCTTGGCAGGAGGATGCTGTGACAGATGTGTCTGTCCATGGATGGAGCAGAGACACTGCGGGAAATTCTGCACCCTCAAGCACCCAGCCCATGCTTCAAGGGCCCCAGATAAAATCTAGCTTCACAGTACACCACCTCCATATCACGCCAGCAAGTGGCCTCTACCCACTGGAGCTGAAGGACCAGTAGGAGGCTAAAGGCATGACATGCTTTTTCAGGATGATGTGATGCAACGACCCATGGAGGAAGAACCACAGTCCAGACAAGTGTTCAGAGGAGCCATTAAAATAGCTAGCTGGAAAAAGATTGGCAGAGTTGTTTGTCAAGAACATCGAATAGAAACCCAGGCACCCTTCCTGAAGGTGTTCAGGACAGTTTTCGTACAGGTCGTCCTCTTGGTAACAAGACCACTAGTTGGGCAAAAGCACAGGGTTAGCAAAGAGAGGTGTAATCCCACGACTTACCTAGGTCTTGGACAGCAGCATGTCCAAGAGGTGATTTTGGCACTAGTTGCTATACAAGACTTTTGTTTCTAGTGGAGGGGAGGAATTGCTTAGGATATAGTGAAGGGCAGAGCAGTGGAAACAGCCTTTACTCCCAGAAACATCCCTCCTCCCAGGGAGCAGAGGAAGTCCTGGTCCCTGATCCTCTGAATGTGCATCAGACTACTCCAGGACACCAGGATTTGGCAGCAGGTTTGTGATGAGATGGCAGCAGTGGTCTGACAGGATAGGGATCTACACAACTGAGGGCAACCTGTGCATGCCCATGAAGAGGACAATGTCTCCCTCATCAAGCAATGGCAGAAGGAGGAAACCGAAGCCAGGCAAACCCACACAGTGATGGGGGTTTTAACAGCAACCTGTTAACAACATCACTACAGGACCTGGAGGATTTACCACCACTGGCAATTTTGCAGTCAAAGGGGTTTTTGGATAAAAGCTGGTCTTTTCTGAAATGTGAGTAAATTGACAGGACTGAAGACCTGTATTTATGCAGGAGATCACATCATATTAGTCCTGTGGTCCCCTCTGACCTTGTATCTCTGAATCTATTACATTTCTAGGATAGTCATTGCAAGAGCTAACTGCTAAAATTAGAGCTGAGTTAATGATTTAATATATTTACATATATAATAATGTCTAATATAAATCCAATCGTTGTTATTATTATGAGTTCACAGTTCTGATCACTCTTGCTTGAACAGCGTGGGGACTGAGAGTCTCCAGCAACGGATCAATGACAATGATTAGAGGCCTGGGAAGATTTCTGTAGGAGGCAGAATTGAAAAGATTAGGACCGTTTAGTTCAGAGAGGGGATGAAAAAGAGTGGACATGAAAAATCAGCACAGCAGCGGAAGCCAGGCAGGCACCCCAATTCTGCACATCTTGTGCATTGCAGCAAGCCCCACTGTGCCTCACAGTGTGTGTTTGTTATGGGATTGTTTCTGTTCACTAAATGAATGAGCAAAATCCTTACAGCCAGGTCACTGCTGCCATCTGAAACTCATCGTTTCCAGAAAACTGCTGTGGCAGGAAAATGTGGACGTGGAAATGCAAGTGAAGGGAGTATGCGGAGAGGATCCAGGCAGTAGAGATGGCAGGTTCAGATGGGAGTCACCAACCCTACATCCCTCCTGGCCATGCTGCAGGGCTGTGCATTTACATCCCCAATCCCCTTAAGAAACCATCTACATCCCTGCCCCTCTTGCCCAGTTCCCACAGCAAACTCCTCTGATTACAGGTTGTTGAGAGTTTCCCAAACATTTTGGGCTGTTCCTCCTGATGCTCTCCTGGTGCAGAGAGGAATGAGACGCTTCTCAGTGTGAGTGCCCGTGGGGTGACCCAGCTCTTGAGTTCCCTCTTTGCTCAGGACCTGGTGACAACCTGGTCACTTCCAGGGGACATGAACAGTTAAATGGCATTTCCAAACCAGCAGCATCCCACTGGTCTTTCAGGCTGATATTTTCCCACTGGACATGGTCTCTTTGCCCCATCAGCGCTGACCTAGGTACCAGGGGGACCTGTGGTGACCCATCCCGCATGTGCCAACAGCCGCTTCATACTTACCCCATGCGAGGGATAAGTCATCCAGCCCCAGTCCCCAGGGATTGTTGACGTGTCCAGCAAGTTCACTGGAAAACACAGGAGGAAAATGCTGCATTAGAAAGCTTTCTCCCCATCCCCAAGGGGCGAGGAACTGAGCCACCACAAACAACCCCTCCTTGCACCCCACTCGCCTGATCGTTCCTGCACCCATCAATCCATGGGGCTGTTGCCAGGGACCTGTTTCACTGCAGATGTGGAGCGAGGAGATGGCAATAAATGATGCTCCCCAAAGCTGTTGGATTGGGGTATAATTGAGGTGAGGCTCTATCAGACCTGGCCATAGGACTGAGAGCAATGTGTCCTTTTGGAGGAGAGTGGGGTGCAAACAGCAGGTTGGAGGGGATGCAGAGCAGGGCAGAGGGGATACAAAGCAAGGGGGAGCTGGGAACACGAGCTCTAAGCATTAGGTTGTCCACCAGTCCCACCCTGGATCAACACTGATGCAACCAGAGCGTCATTCCTCACTTGAACACTTCTCCAGAGGCTCCGCCAAACCCTTTAGGTTCACATCCCTCCCAGCATCACTGGTTTGAAGTCTGCACTCCAGCAGCCACTGTAATTATGTACCTCGGTGCCCGGCTCCAGCACAAAGTGACCCCCCATGGTCCTGGCTGACACCCCACTGGAGAGGCCAGGCAGTGGGGGACAGGCTCCATCAAAGCCAATCCTTCAAAAGCCCTTCCACCACCAGGAGACCAGCTTAACGATGAGGCACAGGCAAATCTGCAAGGAAAGGGGAGCAGCTTCTGCAGGGGGAGAGGTGAGGATGTCTTAGAATGCACTCAGGAGCTTCCTGTGCAAACCCGTGCAGTGTCAGCAGCAGGTGGAAAGCAGGATGCCACAGAACTGCTGCATGCACAGGGTGAGGTGCTGCTGAGTGTCATCTACTGCCCATGAGCCCCAAACCCAGATCCCACAGCATCAGGCAGAGCAGAGCCTTGCTGCTGCCTGATAACCCTCGTCTTGCTCAGCACACAACGGAGGAGCCCAAGCCCCAGCTCCAGGGTACAGATCCAGAGGGATGGAGGCTTGGGAGAGGGTGCCAGCAAGGTGCCCTGACCCTTGGGAGTGAGTGCAGCAGGCACCCACACCAATGTGCCCCTGTCTCATCACCCCGCATCAGAACCAGGCTCCCTCCAAGATCCCCAGGGCCTCCAGGCTTCCCCAGCAAAGCCCCTGCAGCCACCCAGTAAGTTCAAGCCCACTTCGGATGCTGCCTCCATGCTCACTGCTCTTCCTTACCCCCGAGCAGCATCGCGCTGGACCTTGATGCAGCTTGGCTGCATCCCTGCTGCAGTACCAGGTCTCAGCTGGTCTCCGGGCTCCAGAGGGATGGTGGTCTGCTGGGGATAGGGCATAGTGGGACGGTGGCTCCAGCCCTGGCAGAGGCTGGGCTCAGTGTGATGCTGGTCCCAGCAGCCAGAGGAACGGGTGCCACTTTCATTTACTATTACCAGGCAGGGAAGGAGAGGTGGAGGGAGAGAGGAGCAGAGACGTGAGCTGGCTGTGAAACACCCGGACGTCATGCTCCTGACAGAGCAGATTAGGAGCTTTTGAGGCATTTATTAATGTTAGCAGAACAATTTGAAAGAATTTCCAGGGTTTCTTGTGTGACTCCATTGGCCCAACAGCAGGCCGAGCCCCTCCACTCCCTGCATGGTGCTGCTCCCACTGCTAAAGAGGCCCCTTGCCCTCAGCACGGAGTAATTACCTCGGAGATCTCAAATCCATTTTTATTTGTTATTGTTAATCTGAAGATTTTCTGCCTATTTTCCCTGGGTAATTCGCCCAGCAGGAGCCCAGGCTCGGGAGTTCCCTGCTCACGGAGCAGGAGCACAGTCCCAGTGACCCTCAGCAGGCAGGCTACAGGGAGCAGACCGCTTTTGCAGGCCCCCTCTCCCCCATGCTGTGGTCGCTGCACCCTCTTTCCCACGCCGAGATGCTCGGCAATGGACGCAGCTGCTCTCCAGGCAGCACAAGGAGCAGGATCCATGGTGGGATGTACCCTAGGCTTGTCTGCACTGCACTGTGTGGGACCTGGAGCCAGCTGGGAACACCCCACACCACCTTGCGGACCGTATGCTTGCTACCCAACCTCATATAGATGATGGAGCTGGTTTCTTGTGGGTGCTTTGGTGCACAAGCTTGTGCTTCCTGCAGCGAGCTTGCGGAGCAGATTGCTCATGCCTCGTTGCAGAAAGAGGGTGAAGTTATTTCTTCTAGTCCTCAGCGTTTCAGCCAAGCACGTGGCAGCCCTGGGCGTTAAGACCACTGCAGTGGGCACTGCACAAATACAAAGGCACCGTGTGCCCAAGAGCTTTTGTGTTGACTCCTGTTCTGTGGATTGGAGCATCCAGCTAGCAGCACTATTGCACACTGTGCTCAGGTATGGGGAGACCAATACTCTCCCTAAACCCAACCCTTCATTCCAGGGAAAGGCTACAGACCAGTGCCGAAGGGAACACACCGCATCGCGTGTGACAAGGGCCCCGTCCAGCCCCTTGCAGGTGATGTCCCATCTCCGGAGACGATGCTCAAAAAGAGGTGGAGGGCGAGAAAGGCTGCCACAAAGGACTCCCTTCAGCTGGAAGAAAACGTGCCGGTTTGGAAGACCTGTGTCCTACAGCTGGGCAATTCTGTTTGATGTTATGGACTGTCTGCACGGATCAGGCTCAAACTGTGAGCCCCATTTTGTCTTCCTGAGCACCATTTTGCATTTTCCCATTCTGTGCCTTGGCCTTGACTTGCTGTATTGAGCCAAAACACCAGGAGGTGTCAGGAGAAATGCTCGCACTGGTTCAGGAGCTGTCAAGCCCGATTGCCCGTTCAAATGGAAGCACCTAGGAGAGAGAAGGTCGCATCCCCAGCACCGACTGGGGTCTTGAGGCGGTGTCTCATGCAAGGCCTTTATAAAGTTGCATACTTGTATCTACTTGCTCCTTTATAAAGTTGCATCATGTAATGCTGCATTACACGGAGATGTTGCATTACACCTATGAGACATTGCTGTCTCATAGATGCAGATTACACAGGAGTTGAAGGAGAGGTGTATGTGTATGTGTATGATGTATATGTATAATTTATTTATAGCTACATATTTTTATATCTACATCTACATCTACATCTATATCTATATCTATATCTATATCTATATCTATATCATCTAATCTAGCTCTACTTCTATAGCTACACCTGTATCTAAATCTAGCTATATGATCTCTATATATATCTGTATATCTGTATCATTTATTTGTATCTTTATATTATAGTCATATCTCATCTATATCTATATCTATATATCTATATTCTCCATATCCCTATGCCTATCCGTACCCATATCTACCAAATTTAAGCACCGCTCAGGATGAGTGAGGAAGCCAAGGCAGGGACTAGCATGCAGAAGGTGTGTGTTCTGTCTGGGTCCATGTATCTCTTGCAACGTATCTATGAAACGTTGCTCCTGTGGCCACAGCTCCTGCAGGGATGTGTGACACCCCTACAAACAAGCACCTTGGGGTCCCATATCCAAGCATCCCAGGCTCAGGAACACTCCTGTGGGATCCACAGCTGCCCAGCTCAGTGGAGCTTGTGGACCCTCAGCCTGGCTGGGGGTGTGTGGTGGGGTGGTGGGACAAGCCCGGGCTGACACAGGGTGGGGATGTGCTGAGCCCCAGCCTCCAGAGAGCAGCGGGGGACGAAAGAGGGCTCTGAGCACCCTCACTAATTGTTAACCCACTGTGGTCCTTGCTCTAATTACTCTGTTGTCTCCCTCCCAGGCAGGGGCTTTGTAGCTCAGGCGTGGGGAGGAAGGGTCAGTGGGAGCAGCCCTGTTCCCTTGGGCTTCAGTTCCTCTCCATCACAACTTCAAAGGCCTCCCAAGATTCACAGCAAGGCTCCCCCCGTGCAACAATGCTTTTTGCATCGATAATTAAACTCTTATCAGCACAGTTAGGCACTCCTGCTCCCTGCAACTCAAAGACTGTCAGGCTCAGCGCCTGCAGGGTCTGCACACCCCACACTGGCCCCACAGCCCCAGCCCCACTCAGTGGGGAATGACACGGGGAGGAGGTATCTGCATCAGGAACAGAGAGTCTGGGTGTGGGAAAGGTGCAGGGAAAGGCTCCCTGAGAGGAGGGGAACAAGAGTCAGCGGCGTTCGTTTCCCGTAAGCTCAGACAGGACTTTGAAGGGGCATGTGGGGCCAGGGTGGGTCAACTGTTTGTGTCCCACGGTTTAATCCAGAGGCACGCTGAATAGCCAGCCACGACCTTTCCAACTCGGGAGGCAAAACCGAGCAACAAGGCTGTGTCTTACTGGCCTCGGAGCATCACAGGGGACAGGACGGGATGTTCTGCTTTCAGGTTCCCCCTCCCCAGGACAAGTATTTGTCTTTAAAGAAAGAAAAACAGTCATTTATTCACCAGCACACGGGGCTTCGAGGTAAAAGCAGCAAGCCCAGAGGGTAGGTCGGAGCTTCCCATTCGGGAGCTGGGCGCAGGGATGTGCCCCATGGATGCAGGTCGGCACCATGGCAGTGGGGTGCTGCACCCCAGCTCTCAGCCGGATCCAGGCAGGCTTTGTCGGCTGCACGTACTGAGGACACAGCAGCGACGGTGCCTTAGCTGCCCAGAGAAGAATTTAGAAAAGCATTGCAGGTAGATAGAAAAGATGTCACCGAATCCGGCAGGAATGTGGGATTTCCGCATTTCTGGAAGTACTAGAATCAGACTGGAAAGAAGAAAAATATTCAAAAGAAATATTTTCAAACAATTGCCATGACAAAAACAGTGCTGCTTTCCGGACGTGCCCTAATTCCCATTCCAGGATTTCTTCTCAGACCTCCGGATTGTTGCTGTGAACTTTCTGTATTTAATTTTATGTCATTTTGTAATGCATCAGGAGTGGTAAAGCCCATAAGGACTGCCCAGAGGGTCACCCCTTTTCAGTATACCAGGAGCAGAAGATACTTTGATGTAGGAAGAAAGCTTGTTTGTTCAATCAGTGCGAACAAAAAAATGCAGTTCAGG